CAGGTACGTAAATATAATTCTTTTGAATTCCAATGATATTTCTTCCTGAGGAAGGTTTTCTGGCTCTATATTCTGGTGCCTTGTTCATACTACTTTATCTTGCTTCTTTGTATGAACTGGGATTGTCAGTTGTCTTCAAGATATTGTAATGTTATATTTCATTGATGATTGTATGTTGGTGTGTTTCACTCTGGTTTTTATGCCTTATTTTGGTTTCATATATGCAAGAGAGCATGCCTGGTATGTTACTGTATTAGCTAGTTTGGCAGCATTTAGGTACTCACCATCTGTCTCTTGGTGGATGTGATAGAGGATGAGAATGCATGCACAGATTTCTGTTAGCTGTTCATGTAGAGCATTTGTGGGCAGGCTGGGCTGGTATTGTCCACCATCTGTTTTTGATCAGTTGATGCAGAAGCATGTGTGACCTTCACTCAGTGGATAGGGCTGCAGGAGGTATGGATGTTGTTGGGTTGCTGTATCTCACCAGGTAGCAAAATAAGAATACCCCAGTAAATAAATAATAAAACCAAGAGAACAAAAAGCACAACCATCATAATCCATAATTATAAAAAGAAAACATAAATAAAAAGATAAAGGTGGAAAAAAGGGACAGGAAAAGGACAAAGAGAAAAAAGAATAAAGAAAATAAAATCTTAGGAGGGAGGAAAAGGAAAAGAGCAAGAAGAAAGAAAAAGAATAGTAGAGAAAAATTAGGAAAAAAAAAATACAAAAAGAAAAATAAATGATGGAGTGATAAAGAGAAGAAAGGTTAAAAAAAAAGAGGGAGCCAGGAAAAGGAAAAAAGAAAAAAATAAATAAAAGAAGGGTAAGAAAAAATAAAAAAGAAAAGAGGGAGGAAGAAAAAAAGATGGCAGGGCACCTGGGTAGTGGTCCTGTTGGCCCAGCAGGCATTGATAAGCAGCACACTTCATCCCAGCATTTTGTCCTATGAGCCTGGTTCAAGACTGAGTTCCTGGCAACCCAAAAAACACCTATGTTCAGGATGTCTGGTCTGAGACAAAGTTCCTGCTGTCTGAAAAGGCAACTAGTGGAGCAATGAAGAGGGAGTAAAATAAAACACACATGGAAACAATTAGTCCAGGGAACTTGTGGACCAGAGCAAACTTAAGCCCACATGGCCCTGAGACCAGAAGAACTAGGTGGTGCTTATCTACCACTGCCAACATATTAGAAAAGGATCAAAATTGGAGATCCTGATTAGTTGTTGTTAGGTGCCATCAAGATGTCTCCAACTCATGGCGACGCTATGCACAGCAGAGCAAAATACCACCCGGTCCTGCACCAGCTCCATGATCCTTGCTATACTTGAGCACATCACCACCACTGCCACTGTGTCAGTCCATCTCATTGAAGGCCTTCCCCTCTTTTCGTTGACCCTCCACCTTACCAAGCATGACATCCTTCTCCGGAATGGTCCCTTCTGACAACATAACCAAAGTATGTGAGACGAAGTCTGGCCATTCTCACTTCCAAGGAGCAGTCTGGCTGCACTTCCTCCAGGACAGACTTGTTAGTTCTTTTAGCAGTCCATGGTACTTTCCACGTTCTGCGCCAGCACCACAGCTCAAAAGCATCAATTCTTCTTCAGTCTTCCTTATTCATTGTCCAGCTCTCACATATGTATGAGGCAATTGAAAATACCATAGCTTGTGTCAGGTGCACCTTAGTCCTCGAGGAGACATCTTTGCTCTTAAACACTTAAAAGAGGTCCCTTGCAGCCAGTTTGCCCCGTGCTATGCGTCGTCTGATGTCCTGACTGCTGTTTCCATTATGTCGATTGTAGAACCAAGCAATGTGAGTCTTTGACGATTTCAATCTTTTATCCATTTATCATAATGCTGCTTATCAGTCCAGTTGTGAGGATTGTTGTTTTCTTTATATTGAGATGTAATCCATACTGCAGACTGTATTCTTGAATCTTCATTAGGAAATACTTCAAGTCATCCTCACTTTCAGTAAGCAAAGTTGTGTCGTCAGCGTATTGCAGGTTGTTAATGATTATTTCTCAAATCCTGATGTCACGTTCTTCTTCATATAGCCCAGCTTCTCAGACTATTTGCTCAGCATACAGATTGAATAAGTATGGTGAAAGGATACGGCTCTGACACACTCCCTTCTTGATTATGAACCATGCAGTGTCCCCTTTTTCTGTTTGAACCACAGCCTCTTAGTCTATGTATAGGTTCCCCATGAGTACAATTAACTTCTGGAATTCACATCCTTCTCAGTGGTATCCATAATTTTTTATGATGCACACAATCACATGCTGTCACATAGTCAATAAATCATAAGTAAACATCTTTCTGGTATTTGCTTTGAGCCAAGATTCATCTGACATCAGCAATGATATCCCTCCTTCCATGTCCTCTTCTGGATCCAGCTTGCATTTCTGGAAGTTCTCTGTCGATATACTGCTGTAACTGTTTTTGAATTATCTTCAGTAAGATTTTACTTGCATGCAATATTAATGATATTGTTTGATAATTTCCACATTCTGT